TACGAACGTTTATTATAAACAGATACAATTCAAATTATTAAATATACTTAAATTATTTCAGTTGAGTATTTTTATAAGTTTGCACGATTAAAGTTTGGCGTACAAGTAATTGTTTTTTTTTTTTAAGAATAATTAATAAAAGAGTTTGCATAATTAAGACTTTTATATTTAATTTAATTTTTTTTTTTTTTCCTAAAATTAAAAAAAAAAAAGATTTAATTGTTGAAAACGATTTTTCTCTATAGCTCTGTTTCTTTGTGATTTGTTTAAAAAGTTAAATATTTTTACAATAACATAAAAAGTTTATGAATTAAATTCCTAGCGAACGCGTTCTAAACTACTTATCAAAAATACGCTTCAAAGCAGACAAAACTTTTTTATATTTTTATAAAACGCAAGTTGAAACGCTTTTAAAAATTTAAAAAATATTTAAAAACTTAAATTTTTCTTTGCTAGTCAAAACAAAATCGTTGTTTAAATAATTAACATGGGTTTGTGTTTATCAATGTTAATATTTTTTGTTTACTCTAGAAATTTTTAAAAATAAAAAAAATCATTATTTTTTATTCAATAACGATTAAAAACAATTATTCAAAAACAAATTTCAGAAATAATTAATATATATATATATATATTTTTTTTACTAAATAATATTGAACTAAAATTAATAATAAAATAACAATTGAAAACATTACAAAATTTTCATAATAAATTTATATTTAAAACGTTTATAGTTTATATTTGAGTTAATTGTTAAATTGAATTAGTTTGCGGTTATTTATTTATTGCGGTAGTTAAAACACTTAACGCCAAAAAAAAAAAAATAAAGATAATTTTATGACGTCAAAATCGCGTTAAGCTAATGCATTAAGCACTTTTTTATTTAAAACAAGGCCTGTATATATATATATATATATATATATATATATATATATATATATATATATATATATATATCAGGCTTTCCCAGGAAAGGCGTGCGGTCGCACGCCTTGTTTGTCCACGCATAGAATAAATTTTTCTGACTAACTGACCACGTTTTATTATTATGCGTTTTAAGAATTCGCGCCAAGACAAAATACCGCAAAAATGCAAGCAACCTTAAAGTAAATAACAGAAATCTGTTTGTGCTTTAAAATTAAAAAATTAATGTATGTTATTAAAAAAAAAACTTTACCTATATTTTATTTATTTATTTTTTTAGTGTGGTAGTTATTTAAGCTATGAAAAATCAAATCAATAAGAAAACTCAAATCAAAAAGAAAAAGAATAATGTTTAAAGAAAATAAAAGGACCTTTTAATGTAAAATTTGTTTATGACTTTTATCAGTCAGTAATACTTTAATATTCACGATAGAACTATAAACAATTTTTAAATGTTTCGTAAATACATTTAAATGCTTAAATGTATTGATTTTAATGTTTGAATGTATTGATACGCAAGAAAACACGAAAACGATTGCTATTTATTAGTAAAATATGTTTTTTTTTTTTAATAAAAGAAAATTTTATTGTCAAACGATTGAGTTGCTTATTTTGCAATCATTAGTTGACATTGTGAACGAGTGTTAATATATAATAATGTCCCGAAGGAACTGTTTTCGTAACAATGACAACAGAAGCAATGCTATTATTTTTTTAACTTCTTTCGTAATTACAAAATTATGCAATTGAATAATTTCAACGTAATAAAAGGCGAGCATTGACTCAATATAATCAGTTTAGAATAAATCGAGAAAGAACTTTTTTCACATTAAAACTTTGTTATGTTTAAAATCTTAGATAATATATTTAATAATTAAAACAGCAATTTATTTTCTTGTCTAAGTATTGGGGAATAAAGTCATTGCCTTTGCATAAACCTTCGTAAAAACTAAACTAAATGAAAAAGTTTAACCAAATTTGTCTAGCGTAAATAATAAATAAGTTTTTTAATACAATGCCTGATAAAGTTCGTGAATAAATTACGTATTAAGTCTTTTTTATTTTTGTGAAAACTTTATGACTTATCGTCGTCTTTTCCTTAACTTGTATCAAATTTCGTAGCTGAAAATAGCGACCCTAATAAAAGAAAACAACAGTATAAAAATTTTGAAAAAAGTGTTCAAGACTTTTTTTTTTGTTACAAGAATTTTTTTTTATTATCAAAATATTTTTCTTACATCCAATTTCAATTTTATACTTTGTTTAGACTTCATTTCCTTTTTTTAATATTATTTTTTATTCTCTGTGGATAATTTCCGCTTTCTTACGAAATATTGCCGCGGTCACATTTTCTGAAAAATTTGTTCTATGCGTGGACAAACAAGGCGTGCGACCGCACGCCTTTCCTGGGAAAGCCTGATATATATATATATATATATATATATATATATATATATATATATATATATATATATATATATATATATATATATATATATATATATATAGTAATTAATGATGTATTAAATGTTATAATTCCTTTACACAAATGTTGAGAAAAGAATAAAATTATTAT